AGTAACATTGGCCTAAATTATTGATCGTCGCTCTTAGCCAATCAAAATCAAGAGATCGTCGCTCATAGCCAATCAAAGTCAAGAATCATCCGTGACAAAATTGGTGCGGCAGCTAGGTTCAATTCACATGCTTTTGATTAATTAGTATATCGGAAGCCCAATGAAACACCCTAGTTACCTACCCGCGGGTGACCCCGAGTGACACCCACCAGGGTCAAATCACTAATCGCTTCAATCGCAATAATTGAGCAACATTTTAAATTAATAGTAGATTCAATTAAGAAAGCTTAAGGACCTTTTCAATATACTTTATAGTTTGAAAGGCGAACTTTATAAATTGATGTATGCGGTCAAAGATAAATAAATCAATCGGGAAATAACAAACAGTACAAATTGTATGATGAATAAACTAGATATTAGACCCATCATTGAATGATGGTCATAATGCTAAACGCATGGATATTAAAAATTTATTATATAGATAATAAAATAACTTATCAAATTTTCTTATTTTTATGTAACACAAACAAATGGAATGGATCATGTAATTATAATTCAGTATCTTCTTCATCCCAATCAAAATCATCAGCGACTTCACTTTCCTGATGTAATTTTGTTAATCCGGTTACTTCTTCCAGACAAGCAGGAGAATTAAAAGCACGTTTCAAAAATTCGAAGCCATTTGTTTTATATTCATTTAGCACTGCTTCTGAACAAGCCGTACAACGTTCATAAGCCTGTCCCACAACAATCATATTATTGAAATGGGTTAAAAATCCCCGCATTTGATGTGGTATAATTCCCAAAGGCGACGATGAAGAAAAATCAGAATAAGAAGTTGGTTCGGCATTCGTATCAGCGGGGGCAGCAGGACTGTTAACACGATGGTAAATATTTTGTTACATACTTTGATCAATTAATTACAAAATAATAAATATATAATACCCTTTCTCATGATGTAGGACAGACACCATCAGTTCGACAGCATATGCAGAAGCAATAGCTGATAAACCAGGCCGGGTCACTGTACATTGTTGATCAAGGGTACGATCCTTGAGAGAGTCTGTTGGCGCTACTACATCGTTACAGAAATAGCAACCTAGCTGTTTCACTGGCGGCATTGCTTTATCAGAAGAGCCAGTTGTTTGGCATTCTGAATCATCTTTTACGCCATGTCGCATTACCACGTAGGTATCAAACCCTAAGGCGGCATTTATAACGAGCTACGATAAAAGATATGGTTTAGTATAAAAACACCCAATATAAATACATCGTGTGTCAATAATCCAGTTAACTACCAACCTTACGCATACTTGCACCTAATAACGTGGGTAACCATCTACTTTCTCTGCTATCCATTAATAAAAATATGACATCATGAGATTCAATAAGTTGTATGAGCTTTTCCACATCAGCCTTGACTTGAGACTCCGAAGTAATAGGATGACCTGGCATCGGAATACTAATATCATGACCTTCGCTTACCTAACATGAATAATTATATAACCTGTTATGGCATTATTAAAATTTTCAGAGCTAAAATTTAATTAGTTATACGTACAACACTAGGATGTATTTTCTTCAAATTTTCCGCAGCAGCGCTTGCCTTTGGTTTACCACCTTCTAAACAATCTTCAAAAAAGAATAATGATTGTCTGACAGGATTGGAAAAAGAAACACGCGCGTTATCGACAAAGGTTATATGTCGAACACCCCATCCCTAATAAGCACTACCAGGTTAGCCGTAGCTGCTGGTGTCAAGTACATGATAAAATAAATATTGTTTAACTACCAACAAACACTTGGCGACATTGCAACCGAGTGTCCCGGCGCCAAGCAATAGGCATTTTGTATCCTTAATTTTTTCTAACTGCAAATCAGGAACTATACGCCATCGCATTAGCTTTAAATTTAAATCAACGGAGGTATCAGAAAGTCTATAATAGTTCAATTAAAAAAATAATGGTATATGGAAAAATTGAATGAATTGAATTGATGAAATAATAAATAGGTTGCAATGAAATTAAATCACAAACTTTATTGGATCCATCATATGGGCAAGATCAACGGTGCGGGGTCCAAGTTTACCTAATAAATTTTTTTCCCATCCTACAGCTTTTGGACATTCATCTAATGATTATATAATTAAGGAATCCAAATTAATCGAAATTTTTTATAATAATAATTGGAATCATAAACATTGCTCACCAGGAATTACTGTCGTATCAGGGATTTCTACAGTCAAAATACGACTGTTTGAAATATCCTTTTTACTAGGGATTTCTCTATAACATATCACTTTAATTTTATTCACATTCCAGTGACGTTTCAGTAATGCTAAAAGATTACGAAGAGGCCACCCGGGATTGGTAGGCAAACTTGATGGATCGGCGAACCCTACTATTTTCTAATTTGATGCAATGATATACGATATAAAAAATACTTGAATTCTTTGCCAAAAAAGAAAATAATAATAATAAGATATATATATATACAGTACCTCTTCATCATTGCATCCATCAAAAAATGTGTCCCATTCCGACAAATTACCAATTGCTATTTCTTTATTGCTCAGTTGTTTAATAAGGAAGAATCCCGTGCATGAACCAGACTGTACTTCTCTGAATTTATCATAATGTTCCTTCAAAGACTTGATCTAGTACAAGAAATCAAAGCAAATGGTAAAAAATGAGCCAAAATTACAATAGCAATTTAATCGACAACTCTACAAACTACTGACCTCTGTACTATCCCATACTTCATCAACACCTTTGACTTCATTATTTACAATAATCCATGGTGGTTCAGTGAGTAATGCAGGAAACCCAAACCAGTAATAATATTTATATTTTTTCAAATCAGCAAAGGTGACAAGGATAAACCGTGTAAGAAGGTAAGGATCTTTTACAGCAGCACCGGAAATGATATCTTGCCAAATCTATTTACCGAATTTAGCAATAAATGGAGAAAATAATTCAAATATTTTTGAGTAAACTCAAAAAAGAATTCTTTGAGGAAATATCGAGGTTTTTAGTAAGTCTTACTTGTTCAGCAGTCCCTTTGAATAATGCAGTCTTATCAAGTGTTTTGAATTCTTCTATAGTGTTGGTATTCTTTATTGCGCCAGGTGAAGGATAGGTAAAAGGTGGTAAGCTGCGCAGGAATTAAGGTTTAAACCCGACAAAATTTCGCAATCACTACGTAACTAAGAAAGTTTATTTAGTAATTTGATATTCAGACTTACAAAGAAAACGACGTAGTATTAGTGTCGAAAGCCCCGGTTCCGAGATATAGGCGAGCTGGCATGGTAATGTTAGCTTCGGTGGCATGTTGTGATCGTAGAGAATAACCAACGGAATAATATCCTAAAATGTTTTGTGGTGCATCGTCTAATTTATACAGATCAATTTTACGCGTGGATAGAGTATGCCAAAATGGTGCTTCAACAGCCGATGAAAATGGCACAAACTGAACAAGATTGGAAGACATTTTTGATCTATTTCACTAATCTTCTCAATATATTTAAAATTTAGGTTATATCCAACTTCTGAACTTCCAACTACCCCAGTATCGCCATCAAAATTTTACTATCACGTGATGATCTACAGTATCTAATCCAATAGCGAGCCTCGTTTTGATGTAACATTACACAATCAGGAAGATCAAAACAAAACGTTCGTTTTTTTAAAAAATCGCTTATTTCTCAAAAATTTGCATAAGAAACCACCATTTGTGCTCTAACAAAAAAAATTCCTCGGGCAATTTTACTATATACCAGCTAATGTCTAGCTCTATTATAAGCACTAACCCTAACTTAAATGAACTTCAACATTGTCACGTGACAGTAAAATTTTGATGGCGATACTGGGGAAGATTGAACTTCCAGGGTTGTCACGTGGTTACACGACATGCAATGTTGCGCATAAGAGAAATGATTTGCGTACATCACTAATCCTTGATATTTACACTATTAAAATACTAACATTTTTCGTCAGTCCATACTTCACTGTGCATTACAATTAATAGTTATTGCTGTTGCCTGTGCTTCGTTGACTTATTATCACTATTTTGTTATTATATTTCGTCGAACCATTCCTCATTACTATACTTTGTTAACCATTTCTGTCACCATTCACTATTCTTTGCTATATATATATATATATTTTTTTTGCCTATTTTTCGTTACTACGTATTCTTTTCAATTTAACTACGTATTATGTACTTGTCAATTACTGTCCGAAGCAAAGCGGAGGACTTACATGTTTATATGCTTTGATGACTGAAATTACATCTATAATAATAATATCAAAAACGAAGTTTCGGCATTTTCTGTTTGTAATGCTCCTGAAAATTTTGATCTGCAATATACATGATCAGATTTTCAGGGGTTAAGACCATTAATTGAATGCTGTTATGGGCTTCGGACTTATACTGGTTTCTGATTCTTAGTTAGTATTTCATATAAATACTAATGCTATTCTTATTTCTGAAAAGAGCACATTTTTTTTACTTTTGGCGAAGCACATACATTTATTAAGAATTATACAGCACAAACCGGAATGGTTATTATTTTGGGAAGAACAACTAAAAGCTTTGATGGTAACGGTTATAGACAGGCATTTTTTTTTGTAAGAAACAGAGAAAATATAATAGAAAAAGAGATTTATACTACTAAAAGAATAGGTTGTCAGTTTATTATTGAAATAAATTATCACAAGCATATAAAAGAATGGGCAATAATCAAAGTAAGTTTAAAGTATAATCATGATTCTCTTCCAGATGCTAGAAAGTTTAGCAGTAATATGCATAAATTTGATCATAATGAGTTGGGCATAAATGAAAAGCTTCATAATAATGGGATTCAAACAAAAAACATATTTGCAGTTTTAGCTTTTATTAATTCCAGGTATCTATATAAGCATGATGTTTATAATGCTGTGAATTGTTAGTATCAGCACAAGCTACAAGGGCTGGATAAAATTAAGACACTGCTTAAAACCCTGCAAAACGATGAAAATATTATGCCAAGTATGGTAACGAAGCCTTTATACAATAATAATCATAATCAAGATGAATCATTCATTCAAGCAATTTTTTGGATATATCAAAGTACTTCTTTGGAGTTTACTATAATAAGAGATGTGTTGATTATTGATGCGACATATAAAACTAATAGGTAAAAACTATATTACCGTGTTTCAGTCTTATAACTTATTTAATTTTTTATTTAAAATATTTATTAACTATATATTTTACATATATTATTATTAATAAAATAAAAAAAAAGAGTTTCAATGCCGTTAATTGTTATTTGTGGTATAGATCGATTTGGTTCAACATACTTTTTAGCTCTTACTCTGAAGCAAAAGATTTTTATTGTTGGGTATTGCAACAATTATATAATATATTAACAATTTTAATAGGCAATTTGCATATAGCAATAATTATTACTGACAGAGAATTGGCTCTAATTGTTTGAAGTGTAGCAAGGACTTATATATACAAGTAAAACTTAAAAAATATCCATCTGTCTGGCATGTAACTTAATTGTAATTGGTTGATGATCTGTATATACTAGAGGCCTAAGCAGAATTTTGTCTGTCTGTCTACCCATATGACCAATTACATTGTTATAAAACAGTTTTATTTTATTAATTTATTATTTTATCTTAGTATTATTTTATTATTTCAATATTTGTATTTTATTAGTTATTAGTTATTATTATATTTAT